AATTAGCCATTTTGCTATAAAAAAAGCTCTAGATAGCATTACAACATACATCGACTCCATCTCGATTCTACGCGATGGGAATTTACTGGTCCTCGCTGGGAAACCGTGCGCAACCGAAAAGCTCATAAAGGCCAAATCTTTAGCTAATCTATGTGCTATTTCAGCTAAACTACATGAGAAACTTAACTCGGTTCGAGGCGTAATTTATGCCCCTTGCTTAAAGCATGTGCCGGAAGATGAAATTGTCCGCGAAATGGGCAATCAAGGAGTGACTGAAGTATATAAATTTACCAAACTAAATGATGACGGAAAAACACGCTCTCCTACAGGAAGGATTATTTTAACTTTTGATCGCTATCGATTACCGCGAACAGTTGATGTGGCGTGGTATAAATGTAAAGTAGAACTATACATCCCAAATCCTATGAGGTGTAAAAATTGCCAACGCCTGGGTCATACGGCAAAAAGATGCACTAGTGCTGCATCTTGTGCTAACTGTTGTCATCCTTCACATACTGAAAGCTGTACCCGTAGTTTCTGCATAAATTGCAATGATCAACACTCAGCGTTAGACAAACAATGCCCACGTTTTGTACAGATGCGTGAAATACTAAAAATCAAAACAGAAAATTACTGTAGCATGGGCGAAGCGCGACGCACATACCGGGAAAGAAATCCATCTGTAGTCCATGGAATTGACAAAAGTAATACCTAAGCTGCTGTTGCCTCGCAAATCGAGCCTAGTAAGACTTTAACTCCAACTGCTTCCAATGAAAAACCTGTTCCACCATTAACCAAAAATTATATTGCGAAACCAGTTACATCACTTGCCAAAGATAATATTGAAAAAACCAAAGCAACTGCAAATATTGAAAAAATTAAAACAACAACACATATGCTAAAATCTAATAAACCAAATTCTCCAGAATCTCCAGCTCTCAACCTTACTCAACAAAACACAAGTGGTAATGAATCGATTCTTTCATCCATTAATCAATCTTCAATTTCAAATTGTTCACGTGCGCTAACTCGTTCAAATGTACCAAATCACCTAAATACAGATTATTCTGCGGGTAAGAATAAATCATTCACGAAAAATTCCTATAGCGACCTTCTCGACGGAGACGCTGACATGTCAACTTAACCCTCTCTCCACTCTGCCTACATGTCATTACAATTAAATAAAGTTTTTAAAATTCTACAATGGAACATTAAGGGACTAATAATTTTGATGAACTCCGTACACTCATAAGTGATTTTAATCCAACCTTTTTATCACTTCAAGAAACCCATTGTAGAAGCTCTTTTAATCCTATTCCACCCAAATCATATACTGGATACTTGACGAATGCTGATCAAAATTCATATTCCAAACAAGGAGTAGGTGTTTTTATAAAATCAAGTATACCTCACAAACGCATAAATTAAAGCTCAAATATACAAGCCGTAGCGATACAAATAATGTTAAATATAAAATTTACAGTGCTTTCGCTCTATATTCCACCTTCGCAATCGTTTTCTCAGCAAGAACTCTACAGTTTATTCTCCGTACTTTCCCCCCCATTAATTATATGCGGCGATTTCAACAGCTGGAATACCATCTGGGGCTCAACAGTGAACAACACTCGCGGTACTGTTTTAGAAAAGGCCTTTTTTCAAAGCAACCTTTGCGTTTTAAATGATGGAAAACCAAAGCACTTCTCAACTCATCATACTTTTTCACATATTGATTTAACATGTTGCTCTCCCCCACTTCTTCCTTTGGTTTCCTGGTCTATTTCTGATGATCTACATAATAGTGATCACTTTCCAATCATAATCGATCTTAAACTTTCAACGTCCTCTGCTACTCCAGCAAAACAGGCCAAATTCCTCCTAGTTAAAGCGGATTGGATCAATTACTCCAAACAGGTGGAGTCATTTTTGAATTCAAAGCCATTTAACGGGAATTGCAACCATGATGCTGCTATTATGTCTAAAGCGATTCGCACGGCTGCTCATCTTTCTATTTCTCAATCCAACAGCTCTTTTAAACGAGCTATGGTTCTTTGGTGGAACAATACGCTTTCGTTTTTGAGGAAAAATAAAATGGATCTATGGCACCGCTTTAAGAGATGTCCTGATCATGATCATTTGTTATTATACAATAAGGCCAACGCTCTATTCGTGAAGGAATTACGAAAATCAAAGGCACTTAGTTTCGAACTTTTTTCGAAAAGAATTCACAGAAATACATCAATGAAAGTTGTCTGCAACAAAATCAACAGACTCAATGGGACTTCAAACCTGAACCAAATTTCTGCCATCTGCACTCCCAATGGAACTTTAACTGACGCAGATGAGATTTCTAATTACTTTGGAAAAGTGTGGTGCGAATATTCCTCTGACAGCAACTTCTCCAGTGCTTTCATTGAAAATAAAAGGACTCCAATATCTCCTTCAAATAATATCGATAGATATGCCATGTTCCTGGAGAATTGCTTATCTACCTCAGAACTTGGAAGTTGTCTCTCCAATTTGAAGGGGAAGACACCTGGTCTAGACCGCATCTCATACCAAATGATCAGTGCTATGTCTAAGTCTAGTAAAAAGAAATTACTGGACCTATATAAAACGGTATTTATGACTGGCCATATACCCTACATGTGGAAACTGGCAACAGTTGTTCCAATTCCAAAGTCAAAAAATGTCTCCATCGCATCTGATTATCGCCCAATTTCTCATTTATCTTGCCTCTCTAAGGTTTTAGAGAAGATTATGGCATCTGGATTGTCTTGGTTTCTTGAATCCAAGAACCTGATAACAAAGCAACAAGTTGGTTTCAAGCGGGGTAGAGGATGCATCGACGCTCTGTTACATATTGATTATTTCACAAGCAAACCAATTTCTGAACAACAATTCTCTCAATTGATTAAGAAAAAGCATTTGACAGAGTTGGTCTTCATGTTATCTTAAGACTCTCGAAATCATGGAATGTTGGACCCAAATTCTTCAACTACATCAAATCATTCATGTCGCATCGGCGGTTCAAAGTTAGAATCAACAATCATCTTTCTGATTCCTTTCCGCTAAAGAATGGCATTCCGCAAGGATCTCCTCTCTCTGTCACGCTTGTCCAGATCGCTTTCAACGAAATTAGCGAAATTCTTTGCCGTGTACCAAGAGTGGAACATTGTCTCTACGCGGACGATGTATACATTTTTACAAAAGAAAAAGACAACACGAAAGCAATCAACATCCTCGAATCTATTGCATGTGAGATCTCCACATGGGCAAACTCGTCAGGAGCTATAATCTCTATACAAAAATCAAAAAAAATGCACATTTGTCGAAAACAAATGTGCGATGCAGGAAACCTACTGATGCATATTAACACTATCGCTTATCTTACCAAAATGCTTGTGTTAAGCAATATTGACTATGCTTTGATAATTTATGGCAATAGCTCCAAATCTAATATCAACATCCTTAAACCGGTCTATCACCAAGCCGTCAGAGCAAGTTGTTATGCTTTTCGGACGACGCCCATAAATAATATTATAATTGAAACTGGTCTCCCAACTTTAGAAAATAGACAATATGAGTTAAAAGGTAAAATAGTCCCTAAGCTTCTTAATTCAAACAAATCCATTCTCAGTGATGACGTAAGAAAGATTATTATTGCGAAGAAAATTCCAAAGTCACCATCTGCAATTGATCATTGTTTGTGCATCGCAAAGGAATTCAACATTCCCTTAAAAATTTCCCGCTCTTTTGGTGTTAAACCTCCCTGGATTTTGAAAGACTGCTCTTTTGACATCTCACTGTCTATGCACAAGAAAGAAGATACTCCAAATTACGTCTTCAGGAATCTAATAGCTGAGAAAACCCAAGTATTGGACAATACTGGTTGGAATCTTTTGTACACAGACGGCTCAAAATCTCCTGGTCTGCCTCCTGCTTGTGCGGTGGTAGATGCTACAGGACGGGTTCTTCTCAACCACATATTTCACGAAAGCACTTCAACTTTCATAACCGAAGCCAGAGCTATCCATAAAAACAAATTCAAAACCGTTATTGTTACCGACAGTTTGTCTGTATTACAAGCTACCCGGAACCCTTCGACTTCAAGATGGAGCACCATCAACAAATTAAGGAATATAATTACTACACCCGACGGAAAAATTAAAAAGTTATGGGTACCAAGTCACATCGGTTTACTGGGAAATGAGCAGGCTGATCGAGCGGCAAAGTATGCTGCTTCTGCTCCTCTAATTATGGATGATGTCATGGAAAAGTTGTATCTTCAAAGATACATTGGAAGAAAAGTTAAAGAGAAAATTGCAGAAGGAAATTTACAATACCATCATCAACACTACTCTTGCATTAACCCTCAATTAACTCCACCTCTATATCCAACAAATGTTGAGAAAACCAAGATCCAAACATTTTCGAGAATTCGCCTTGGTCATACAATTGCAACTCACCAATGGATCCTGAAGAAGTCTTCTCCCCCAATCTGCAGTTGTGGACAAACTCTAACTATAAAGCACATTCTCTGCGACTGCCTTAAGTTTTCCTTGGCTAGAAGTATTGCATTTGGAACGATTAACCCTTTGAACATTCTACAATCAGCTTCAGAACAGAATATCAATTCTATACATTACTTTATTAATACTACTAAGGTCATTATCTAAGGTACATTTTATTATCCTTTTTTATAATTAGATCCGATAGCCTGTGTTGCTAGTGCTCAATGTCTTTTTTTAGTCTAAGAATTCATTTCATTAGTCTAAAATTAAAATAATAATAATAAATACGTTGCGTGGTATAGTCAAATTAGTTTATTTCAGGATTGGGAATGCCTTTGGCACCCTAACTTTGGCAACTCTGCACGGTGCTGTAGTCGCGTTTTAATTCTTTGCACAAAATATTTCAATTTCTTAGTGTATCTCTTAGCTTTTTGGCTTTATTCGAGTCTAAAGTATAAAAATCTTTGAAAGAATAAAGTGAATTTAATTTATCTGCAATATATTAATCGTTTACGTGATATTTAGTTTGGTTTTGTGCAATCAACACTTAGTGCTCTTGGTAAAAGTCTATCTTTTTTCTATTAATCTTTGTTTACAGTTGATTTTGTTTTCTCTCTATATTTACAGTGTCGAAAGTAAGAAGTTCGTTTTAATTCGCTGATAATTTTTGTGTCTTGAAATCTTTTAGTTTTTTATTCTTTTTTCGTTTTTCATAAGGTCCTTGGTCATGTTTCACTGGACATGGATTGTTTATTTACACCATGTTGTGCGAAAACAAGCACAGAATCTGAACAATTCATCTTATGTTGACTCTGTGGTCATTTTTGCATTAAACAGTGTGCTGGTATTATCGACAACGCTGCTGATGCAGTCCTGGATCCATCAAAAGACTTACGATGGTCATGTCCTGACTGTAGCAAATCGGACATAGATATCTACAAACTCCTCACGGAGAAGAGAAATGGTTTCTCAGATTTGAGCAAAAATTTCGATTCCTTGTGGGAGAAGTTTGATATAATTAAGACTAGGTTTGATAAGTCTTGTCATATTGAGTAAGCCTGATTCGTTGGTACAAGTTAGTGCCTCTTCAATCTCTACAAAGAACGTTAGCGTTTCTTCTGTCATTGAGTCGGGCGGTAACAAAAACGTTACAAGTAAGCCAGGAAGTCCTTGTGGTCTCAGCTATGCTGAAGTGGCAAGGGTATCTCGTCCCATTTGCGTCACTCACTCTACTCAGGCGTCATCGCTTAAAACTAATAAAGAGAATAATAAAACGTACTCTCCCCCAGGTGTTTCGAGTGTGAACGCTGGTCACCAAACTGGGTACGTCGCGCAAGCTGCCCGTGCAAGTGTTCTACATTCTCCTCAACTCAAAATTTCCCATCCGTTAACCCTATTGTTCCTGGTAGAGCGTGTTAGCATTTTCAAATTGGCTCCTTCTCAAACTAGCCAATCTCGTCTTTTAAAATGCTAGTTCTGACTGGAAACGTGGACGTGTTCTTAAATAAACCATTGTGGCCGCTTGGATCCTTAAACGAGGAATTTATCCCCCGTGATAGACCCCGTAATACTAATGCAGGAATCCTTTTCCTTTCAAAAAACTAAATGTTTCTTCAGGCTCTTTATCTCTCATTTATGAAGATGTTAGGGGCCTGAATTCCAAAATTCTTTCCACTTTCCTAAATTTAGTGAAGTTTAGTGGAGTTTTCCTATTTCGTCTTCACTGGAACTTGGTTAAAACCGGATTTACATTCGTCGGAACTTTTCCATAATTCATTTCAGGTTTTAAGAAATGATCGATTGTATCGATATGGTGGTGGTATTTTAATTGCCACATCTGCAGCAGTCTCTATTCTCGACGTTGAATTTATCGCCATTCGAGTGAAATTTCCAAATAAACAGTTATATGTAACCTGCTCCTGCTCCTGTATTCCCCGAAATTCGGATATCTCCGATATAAGATATAAGATATAAGAAACAGGCTGCTCTCATTTGCGAAGTGGCTAAGCAATCTAATATATAGATATAGTTATTGCGTTAGGGGACCTAAATTTGCTTCAAGTCACTTGGTGTTTTTGTGATAGTTCTGGCTGCTTGATTCCTATTTCAACATCTGATAGCGCTTTTGTGTTCTTTAATGAATTATTTGTGAATCGTTGTCTACCTTTTAGTTTTTCTTAGGATTCTTATCATCCAGAAGTGTGTATTTCCTTTCATTCTAAGCATGATGGCTCGTTGAACTTCTGTAACGTCCCAAATTGAACTTTTTCAAATAAATATTATGATATCCATAAAATCAACATTTGAATGCTTAAATCGCAGCTTTCATATATTAAGCTTTATTTCTCAGTTGGAAGCATTGATAGCTTATTGTTCTATAATACATTAACTCTAACTATTTCTGCATCCGTTCAGGCCAAGTAGTGGCGTCCTCGCGACAGGTGTCCCCCGTGGCTTAATAAGACAATTAAATGTTACAAAAATAGGAAAAACAAGCTTGTCAAGAAATTTTCGAAACGCGGCTCTGCTTTCGACTATTTCGCTTACTCGGCTACAAGGCATAGATTTAATTCCCTCAACCACAAATATTATTGCAGATACCTTCAGTTTCTAAATCCTCTCTGTTTGCTAATCGAAAATACTTTGTTAAGTTCGTTAATTCCAAAAGAAAAATCTACATAAATCCCTCGCACGTTTCCTTATTGGCCCTGAGTCGTCGGATGATATTGAAACATCAAATACTTTTGCGGAACACTTCCTACAAAACTTTTCGACTGCTAATTTCGGTTTATCAGCAAACTATCCATATCCGATTACTAATTTGGTTTTAATTCTAAATTTGGTTATTTCTGAAAATGACGTTTTTGAAGGGCTGAGCTCTCTAATATATAATTGTGCGCCTGGACCTAATGCAATTCCATCATGTGCACTTAAATCCTGTCCTGTTGGGCTATGCTATGCTAGTTCAAAAATTGTCAACCAGTGCTTGAATTTGGGCGCTTTCCCTTTGTGTTGGAAGACTAGTTTCCTCATTCCTATTCACAAAAAGGGAAATAGACAACATTTTGAGAACTTCAGAGACATTGCCAAGTTGAGTGTCTTGTCTAAACTGCTCGAGCGATTTGTGACTCAGGATTTGGCCTTTGTCATTAAATCGTATATATCTCCACTCCAACATGGCTTTCGAAAAGGGTGATCTACGGTCACCGTCATCTGTTAGAATTTTCTTGGCATGTTTTCAAGACTTTGCGTAGTGATTCTCGCACTGTTCTCATATACACTGATTTGGTTAACCATAACTTATTTAACCTTAAACTCCGAACCTTTGGCTTCGGTTTATATTTAGTAAAATGGATAGGTTTTTACCTGCACAACAGATCGTTCAGGGTTTTGTTCGGATGAATTTCCCGTGACGTCTGGCGTACTTCAAAGCAATCACTTAGGTGCCATTTTATTTAGATTATACATTAATGATCTGCCCTCGGTGCATAAATCCAGCCATACGTTCATGTATGCTGATGATGTGAAACTGTTTTATTCCTTTTCCGTAGAATCGCAATCACATCAGTTTTAAAGTGACTTGAATAATTTGGCTGCGTGGTGCTCTTTGAATCTTTTGAAATTAAATCTAAATAAATATAAGGAGCTTTCTTTCTCAAGTAAGGAAGTCATTCATTACTAAGTTGTTCATTGATTCGCACAAGTTGGAGGACGTCGATTCGTTTACAGATTTAAGCGTTCTATATAACCATGGGTTACGTTTTAACTTGCATTTTGAGCTCTCGTTAAGCAAAGCTTCTTTAGACATTTTATCTTGGTTAAGCTAAGTCAGTGTAAATATAATTATGAGCTGTTTAATCCGCTCAGAGTAGTTTGCAAAAACCTAAATGACGTCTATCACTTATTCTCGTTATCGGACTCTTTAAAGTCCATTAAAGCAACGTTGCTTAATACGCGCGATTTACCTATGACGTACTGAAACTAACATTTCATTCTTAACATCTCATTTTTTATGTAACGTAAAATTGCGTTGTTAACGTGTTGGTTGCCAAGCTTATGCATGTTTGCAATGGTTTAGGGGTTCACTTACAACCTGGATCTGTTCTTGTTGCGGGTGTGCTTCTGTCCTAGCTGTGTACATGCTTCTTTTTCTCTTTTTATTCATGTGTACATGAATTATTATTTTAAAATTTTTAATCTATTTTTAACTTACTTTGTTTTTATTATTCTTCTCTTTCCATCTTCTTTGGCATTGTATAACAATTTTTAAAACAATTAGCATAAGATTTACTCTTAGGATGTACTGAATTCGACTGCAATTTTCTTTAGGTTAATATCATGTATAATTACGTAAAATAAATAAATAAATAAATAAATCAGAAACTTTATCAACAACTTGGCTATCAGGTACTAATGGATCAACAAATAAGGAAGTGAATTCAGCACCATGCTTACCCATCCTCAATCTGTCTTTCTTATCAATATTAGTCATAAAATAATTGTCAAAGTCTTTTATATTTGCAATAATCTTATTACACCTTGTCTCTATGGTGAGACAGGCTGATGTTGTATAAGCTGTCTCTGGAGAACACTTACGAAACATTCACAACTAAAAAAAAGGAAAGCTCTTCATTTAACAAAAAAGCCGACTTTATGAATTTACAAGATTGTAATTTAACACACAAGTTTGATTGGAAAAGAAATCAATAAACTATTATATTAAATATTATTAGTTTTTAGTTTGCTAAAAAATGTCCTGTTGTTTCCAGTGCGAAGTGGAATGATGAGGGCGTTTACATCTTTCATCATATGTAAAAATGTCTTCACCACTTATTTAAAAGAAAAACTACGAATTTAGTTGTTGTATGTAATGTATATAATGCTTATATTATTTAATGCTGCGATTCACATTTTACTGGTTGCTGCGTCGTCTTACTGCAGGAAATTTATTAGTTTGTATGCTTGACCACACTTATTTGCCAACTTACGTCGACGTCGGCTTACGTAGGTGATCTTTTTACCACAACCCGCTAAGCGCTTTAGAATTGACAACGGAACTTTCAGTTAAACCAGCTAACTCGGTTGTCTTTTCACAAGCCACTAGCGTAGTGGCAAGGTTTACTACTCACCAACAAGAGTAAGGTGCATAAATAATCTATACAAAGCAAACGGAGGCGGCATATTTAGTTCTCACTGTTTCAAATAAAGCCTGAGACATGTCCTTAACGCAGACAAATTTATGACTGATTGAAAATTGAATGCGTAAACCGCGGCTTTCACATCATCAGTGACAGCTCTACCTAACACACAAGAAAACAAATTCACAGTAAACAATCTTCATGAGTAGTCACGAGTAATAAGAAGAATAGTATTTGCATTAATATAAAGCGTTGGGATGCTAATAATGTGGAAAATTATGTGTAGAGTAAGATAACATAAACATCAATAACGATAGTAAGTAAGAGCAGTAATAGGATCACCAATGACATAGTATTTGATAATGAAACCAATGCGATAATCTATAAAAGTAATATCGACGACAACAATGAACAATGTTAATAATACTATTTATTTATTTATTTATTTATTTATTTTAGTTCAATTGGCACTTAAAGCAAAACTTATATTAAATTAATAATAAAACTTAGTATAAGTACAATAAAACAAATAAGACGGAAAAGAAAAGAAAAAAAGCATGTACACAACCAGCGCTGAGCCACACTTACAACCGGTACAGGACCAAATTGCAAATGAACCCCTAAGCCATCGTAAACTTGCATAAGCCTGGCAACCGATAATACTTAACAACAATTAATTTACCAATCGTAACGACTTTTAAGGATAAAAACTAGTTTAAGTAAGACATAGGTAAATCGCGCGTATTAAGCAATGTTGCTTTAATTAACTGTAAAGAGTCCGATAACGAGAATGAGTGATAGACGTCATTTAGGTTCTTGCAAACTACTCTGAGCGGATTAAACAGCTCAAAAATATATTTACACTAACTAAGCTTAACCAAGATAAAGTGCCTAGAGAAGCGGTTAGGGGCATTAAAGCTTATTTCACCAAGTAATGAAGGCGAGTCAATAGTACTATTTATTACTTTGATTACAAAGGAAACGACAAGAAGATAAGTAAAGAAAATGACGAAATTAAATGTAATATATCTGAAGGCAACATAATAACAATGTCAATAATTGCAATAAAGTTAGAAATTAAATCAATCGCACACATGTACGGAAGTAATGCTGATGGTGTGCAAAGCAATAATAGTATTAACAATCACAGAGTATGGATGCCTTAATAATGATAACAGTAAATGTAAAGTTAGTATAATATGAAGATCTGGCTGTCATATAAAAAGGAGTGATACGTTGTTTCTATTTCAGTGAGGTAATCATATATCTGAAAGTTAAACTTGATTCGCGACCCGATCCTGTAAGACTTTCGTGTTAACCCTATTGCTCTCACTCATATGTAAAAAACCAAAATATTTTTCTGCTTTTCCTTCTTCTATTCAGCAACTCAACAACCGAAAATT